TTTATAATTCGCTCGTGAAAAATTCCTTCATTTCTCACCATTTCAGTCATGGCATCAACGGAGGAGGAAGAGATCACTGCCTCTTGGCAAAAAAAAACAAAAGAAAAGGCCAGATCAGGGATGAAGAAGAGGAATTTAATACTTTGGTGTTGCATATAAAACAGTCTGTCGCCGGGCAGTTTATTTGTTTTATTCCTTCATATCTTAAATATATTTTACTGTTTTATAATCTTTGTTGTGGTGTGATATGTACAGTTTGTTTATTTAAGAAAGAAAATCCAGAAAAGGAGTGCAATGAAGGGATACTTTTTATTTAATTATCATAGTTTCTAAACACAACGTTTTAATTTATTCTTGAGTGATCATTTTGTGCACTTTGTTTAAGGGAAAACCCAACCATCACAAGTATTGAGAAAATTGTTTTGTTACTGTTTTATTTTTTCAGAAAAAAAAACGTTTTATTACTATAAAGTATTTTTTATTTACTTATAAACTTTGCCTAATTTCATCCTGGGTTTTAACAAATAAATGATCCAAAGGAAAAATCACAACACTTAAATGTCATCAAAATTCACCGTAATTATTTGTAAAATATCGTATCGGTATCAGTATTGATGATATTGGACCTGTCACAGATATCATATAAACACATATATCTATGGGACCAGTATTTACTTGGCATCGATTGATACCAAATTTTGCAGTATCGCACACCACTACTGTCTATATGAGTCACTGTCTGTCAGTAGACTGAGCAGAGAAGACACACTGTGCACCCGCCTCTGTGGACTGGTGCGGGACGGTATGTTAGCACTCGGATCGCGCATGTCTGTACGTTTCTCCAGTTTGGGTCTTAAAGCTTTAAGACCCAAACTGGAGAAATATACAGACATCCATCCGATGGACCGAGAGAGACAAAGACAAAGGTGCAGAAGAGAGAGGATGAGAAATAGCAAAGAACTGGCACTGATGCAGCAAAGTGCAATAAATTAATGTTTGCTTGTAACGGAGCAGGTAAAACAGAAACACCCTGATTCATGCTCAATAATCCAGGTAGAAAAATCCAACAAATTTAAATCAGGTCCACTGAACAGTTTCCGGGAGTAGAAACTGTCCAGAGGACCCGATTTAACTTTGTTGAATAAGACAGAAACAGAAAGTGCTCCTCACTTGGGCATCCTGGGAAACGACATCTGTACTCCTTTGGTTCGGCCCTTTTTCCCTTTTAGTTTTGACATTGTTTTAGTCAGTTTCAGTCCCAGAATAGAATGTTGAAATTATATTTGTCCCTTGCAGGTAACAATAAAATTATGTAATGATTTATACCCTTGATTTTCTTGTCTTGTAATAAACAAATAGTGGATAAAACTCTCAAAATAGAGTGTATCACATTAACAACCTGTTAAAATACACCAGAAAGCCGGAAATGGCATCTACGTTATTAAAAAATTTCTGGGGGAGGACCCCCAGACCCCCATGAGTATGTCCCCCAAAATGCTTCTGACACCAATAGCCACCACATTGCTAAACAAGTACACATACTTGTTATGTACATACTCAGTATTGGTGGTTTGCGTTAATCGGGTGGTGGTGGTCTGGGATGGTGTCAAATTCCCTGCTTGGATTATAAATGTTTTTTTCCACTGCTGACAGAAATTAGTTGTCACTGTTTTATGATAAATAAACTAAATTTAACAATAATAGTCTGAAATGTGATAAATACAGACTTGAAGGGACACTTTTTAAATAGGGAAGAGGATGAATAAGGGGTCTGGGCTGAAGCCCCCAATGTTTCAAGACCCTAAAAACGCCCCTGCACACGGAGTGTGGAAAAACAGGACGTCTGCGTCTGCTAATAATGAGTGAAATTAATTAATGGGTCCTACTGTAGTGTAACATGTTACTGTTATCGCGAGATTAGTCGGACCAGAGAGAGATGAGAGAAGACGGACATGGTGGCTAGAGTTACATTGGAACACGTGTTAATAAATAAGCATAAAACAAAGTAAATTACTGTTTTATTTAAACAACACAACATTTGGCGATGAGGAGAACGTTTGTCAAGAACCCATAGGCAAAGAAGGACAACTGAGACAGAGCCATGTAGGATAATGATCAGCAACCAGCTGCTGCCGGAGCTGCACCTGGTCCCAGTTACACTCAACTGGTCCCGCCGGTTCCACTGAACTTGGAGCGTCAGATTTATTCACGGAGTATAAACTGTGCAAGGACTCTTACAGCTTCTTTTTGAAGTTGCAAGTGGGACTATTCATGCACAGGATTTGGTGAGGAGAGCCACTCTGCTGCACAGTACAGTATAGGAGCACCTACACAGGATTTTCGCCAATTTACCGGGAGAAAAAGGTACACGTGCTCAGGCTGTTGCCACGCTACACACATATTTTGCTCTGCGGAGAAATATAGTCCTAGAGACACAAGTCCAGACAGAGGGCTCAATGCCCTGAAGAGTCAATGGATGCTTTTGTTAATGCATTAAGAGAACTGGCAAAATCATGTGACTTTGGCACGCTGGAGAACGACATGATACTACGTGCGTAATGTCCTGTTTTCTGACAAAAGAGGCACTTTGCTGTCTTGGCTCCACATTCATCTGCAGTGCGAGTGTCCATTCCACATCTATTACACTGGGTGTCACTGTTGGCTTGCTCTTGGCTGCATCTCCGTTCATTCGTTATTCTCAGATAGAACGTGAGGCTTTAGGATGTGTATGGGCTGTGGAACATTTTAGAACATACTTGTGGGGGGGCCAAGTTTACTCTGCAAACTGACCATAAACCCCTCATCTACATGTTCAACCCAGAGAAGGCTACGCTGTCACCACCACGAATACAGAGACTCGGTTTGAGACTACAACCATATGATTATAAAATAGAACGCATCTTCGGAAAGTCCAACGTAGCGGATTCACTTTCACGACTTCCTTTACCAGAGACGGAGAACAATGAGTACGTGGAAACGTATGTGGACAAAGTGCTGACAGTGACGATGCATGAGGTGCAAGCTATGAACCTTGAGGACATCAAACAGAAAATGACAGAGGATGACACAATGAAACAACTGAAGATGATTGTGGAGACAGGAAAATGGCCAAACCCAGTTCCGTCTGAGTTGCAGCCTTACAACACATGTGCTGGAGAGTTCAGCATATATGAGGGACTTGTGCTGAGAGGACACAGGATAGTACTACCAAGAGCAATGGTGAAGCAAGCACTGGAGATTGGACACGAAACTCACCAAGGAGTGGTTCGTACAAAACGATATTTAAGGAGCAAATTTTACTGGCCCAACATGGACTTGTATGTAGAGAGACTGATCAGAAACTGCTCCGCTTGTGTGCTCAATCGGCCGCTTCATGAAGATCACCTTCAACCACTAGAGTTACCACCAAGACCATGGACAAAGATAGGAATTGATCTGGTAGGTCCTATCCAAAACCAATATGTGCTAACTGTGATGGACTATTATACTTCCTTCCTGGAGGCTGGAGTTGTTCCAGATATTTCCTCAGCTACTGTCATTTCAGAACTGACCAAAATATTTGCAAGGTTTGGTTAACCCCTAGAGGCTGTTACTGATAATGGTAGACAGTTTGTAGGACAGTTATTTGAATTATTTCTCAAGTCATGTGGACTAAAGCACATCAGAGCATCACCTTATTATCCAAAGAGCCACGGAAAAATTGAGAGGTTTCACAGACACTTGAAGAAAGCCTTCAGAACAACTGAATACACATGGAAAAAATGGCAGGAGGAACTTCCAAAAATATTAATGGCATACCGATCAACACCACACCGAGCGTCAGGAGAAACACCAGCTATGCTCATGTTTGGACGAGATATCCGCACAAAGTGTCCCAACATGGAGGAGGAATGTGGATTTCCAAATGGCACAGAGAAAACGATAGATATCAGAAACCATCACAACGAATACAAAACTAAAATGAAAGAGTATGCTGATCAAACCAACAGAGCAAAGGACCACAACTTTAAGGTTGGTGATATAGTCTACATTGCTAGTATGGAGAATGGAAAGCTGGATACCACATTCAAAGACATTCGCTATGTCACATTGAGAAACACCGCTGATAATGCCTTTGAACTGGTCAACACAGAAGATGGATCAAGAGTGATCAGGAATGTTAAACATCTTCGACACACACCTGTGGTAATTGACTTTGATGCTTTTGAATCTCCATTGGAACACAACACCCGAATCAACGATAAAACTGTGGAGGTGCCGATTGCTGAGACCACTTCATCAGCTGAGATCCCACCAGAACCTAACCCACCTGTGTCTGTGGTCATCACTACCAGGAAGGGCCGTGTCATCAGAAAGCCCATCAGATACAGAGAGACTTGAAATAAATAAATAAATAAATAAACAAAATAGAGAAAAGAAATGTTACCCTTTGGTTTAGTAAAGTAAAATGGAAATTGTTTTGATTTCTATGTAAAAAAAAAATGTAACTGTGATTTAAAAACTTTTTGTTTTGCAGATAGGTTTTTGTTCTAAACAAGGAGGAAAATGTAGTGTAGTTAATGTTACTGTTATCGCGAGATTAGTCGGACCAGAGAGATGAGAGAGGACATGGTGGCTAGAGTAACATTGGAACACGTGTTAATAAATAAGCATAAAACAAAGTAAATGACTGTTTTATTTAAACAACACAACACCTACTTTATAAATAATTAACACTTTATATTATTTATAAAGTGGGCCCCATTAACACTTATTATTAATATGTGTTTTAAACTTTAGATATAAGTATTTTCAAGTAAACAGGTTCAAGTCCAATTCAAGTCCCAAGTTATTGGTGTAAAACTCAAAGTTAAGTGTCTGAACACTTTTTCAAGTCAAGTCTAAAGTCCTAATATTAATGACTCGAGTCTCCACCGCTGATTAATTATATGCTACAACGTTTTGCCCAATGTGTCCTGGATCTGGGCGTGAGCGCGCGGCCAGTGGGCGCGCCCGCTGCGACGTTGCGGAGGCTTCAAGATGGCGGAAGCCTTGACAACTCAGGAGCAGCTGGTAAGGGTTTCTAGACCATTTCCCCCCTCGTTTACCTAAAATGTTCATTGTGTACACATGTCATCGTCAGTTCTGTCTTTAACCGGTGACTTTTCTAATACTTTTAATCACATATTTATTTTGGAAATAATACGATGTAGTAAAATCTGTGGCCCGTTGACTCCGATGTGACTGACAGCAGTTAGCATGTGTGTTAGCCTGAGAGCGTTAACGGGATCATTTAGCCGGCTATGTGTTTAGTTTATTCCATCTCTATTGATAATCTCATCTTATTGGGGATTGCATAAATGTGTTATTTGTTCTTAGGCTATTTCAGGAGCGTGACTTTGTTGCATCTGGGTAATCTTGTCAAAGTATTTATAAGGTTTTGTTTTAACCTAGAGATTTAGCTACCACATGTAACCTAGCGGTTATGCTAATAGCTATTGTTGACCTGCCTGGGATCTCATCAACAGTTTTGTCTTGTCAAAATCTAACTATTCTGTGAGGTTTTGAAACCATTAACAAGTTTGCCGCTTTATTCGTATATTGTTTTTAACCCACGGCATAAAAATGAAGTGGACTCCAGTTGTGAACAGCATCTGTGTCGGATGTGCTACGGAGTGTTCATGGAATTGGTCCTCCGGTTCCTAGCATTGTTGTTGCCATAGCTTTCTAGTAAAATGGGTGGATCCAACACAACAAATCAGATGTAAATCATGGCTGCTGGTCTTATCGAGATGTCTACTGGGTACCATCATTACAATAAACACACTCCTGACTGCTTGGACGATTTTTAACATCTCACATCCAGTCTTTTAAATAACAATTCAAAAAGTTGTTTCTGATATCATCGTCTCATTTAGGACTAACCAGCATCATATCATCCATCCGATTGTCCAAATTCATCTCAAATTTCCATCCCTGAATATATTTCTACACATAAAATAACACTGTCACTGAGAAATTATAAATGTTTAATCGGGAGCTTAATTGAATTTCTTGACTGTCTTGTTGAAGTTAAAACCCTGGGAACAGCCCTAATAACTAAGTTATAAAGCCAGTGATTAGGGCACAATGGCCATTTATCAAATGGATTAATAGTTATTTGTGAAATCCCATTCAAGATATACATCGAAGCCATGGTAAACAACAAAAATGTAAAGCAGTTATGTTATTAAAATCACATGTTTGTGATCTATTAATTACATAGATGACACCGCTTAAGTCATCTTGATATATTTGTATACATTATATTTAGAGGTGTTGGAGTATCATAATTTAAAAAGCATCTAAAATAATAAAAACAAAAAGCTAAAGCAGCCTCGTTTATTAACTAAAGCTTACCAGTGATTTGTACACAATTGTACAAGTTTGGTGCTTTTTCTGTGTTGCATTGTTTCTTTATTGTTTTTTTAGTTCACAAATATAAGATACAGTAGATATTATCTTATATCTGCCTTCACTGAGTGCCTTAGGTGTTGCCTTCAGCAGAAGAACATCCAGCTTTGTTGCTCTTGTCACGAGATTTATGGTTCTGTAATTAGAAACCGTTATATCGGTCTTAATTTTAGACATCTGAGGTCGATGTTGTTTGGGACTCGTTTCTATTTTCTCTCACTTCGTGGAATATGTGTTTTAGGAAAATAAGACTTCATCAGGAGAAAAACATCAGCACAAAGATCAACATCTTTATTTTTCTACCACGACTACACTTTATTGTGCTGCCATTTGCAGATTTTTTTTGTTTTTAATAGCATTATGCTTTCAATATCTATTTTCTTTTAGCTGTTTAGAGCTACTTTGTTTTATTTATGTTTACTCCAATTTTCAGTTGTTGACACCTGTAATACTGTGTTTTGTTCTTAATTTTTTTTAATTAAAAATAATTTATCTTGTCCCTTATATTGTCCCCAAAGTCTCTGGAATAGTTACAAAGATAAGATACAGCCCCCTTTAATTTCAAATTCTGCATAAACAATCAAACTGTTTATGCAGGTTGTTTATCATTAGCTTGTGGCAAAAGTGACCTTTTTTTAAGTTTGAGTTATTCTTCTTTATTATTGTTGTTATTATAATTATTATTATTTTTAGAAACAGACTTATTCAAACAAGAAGCTTCAGGGTCTGACTGAGGGTTGTCACAATACAAAAAAAATAAATATCAAAACTAACAACTTGATACAATCTTTGATGCTGCGAGGGAGACAACAAATAAAATGAGCATCAGTAGTTTTATTTATTTTTGCAAATAACTTCAGTAACCTTTTTGACTTTCATAACGCATACAGGTGCTAATTTGTGAAAATTTAAAAATTGTCAATACAAATTTTGTAAACTCAATATTTATAAACAAATGTCACTTGTAAGTTCAATGAACTGCAGGCCCCTCTTGGTTTATTTCCATATTTTTTACAAACTAATTACTGTTAGTTGATTACAGCTTTATGAAAAACTGCTGACAAATGTGCTGCAGTGTACTGCTGCAGCTGCATGCTGTGTTTCATGGCGGTTTCATGAAAGGTCAGCGGACCAGTTGCTCCTCACAGTTCCAGGAACTCGTCTTAAGCGCAGAGGTGACAGGGCCTTCTCTGTAGCAGGACCAAGACTTTGGAACGAGTTACCTCTGCTTGTCAGACAGGCCCCCTCCCTCTCGGTTTTCCCGTTTACAAACTCACTACTATTCAGTAGCTTTCAACACCAGATGATCTGTGTTTTGATCCTGTATGCTCCACACTGGTTTGTCGTCATTATCTGCATCGTTTTTATGTCTATATTCTGATTTACCTAATTTTGTATTTTGCTTTGTGTGTTACCTGTTGTTCTGTCTGTACAGCACTTTGGTTGGCCTTGTAGCTGTTTTAAGTGCTTTATAAATAAAATGGTATGGTATGGTTTCATGTGAAAAGTGCTACCAGTTCTATATAGCAAATGTGTTATATGTGTTATATCTCTGTTGGATCCAATGAAAAGTGAGACATACAGCATTAGTTGATTTGAACTGTTTTCAGTATTTTATGTCAAATTAAACAGTTTTGTGTTCATTTAAATAAAACTACCTGCTCCTTCCTCATCTTACCCTCGTCAGAAACTTGACTCAGGCATTTTATACAACGATGGTTGTTTCTTTTGGAAAGTTAACCCCATAAGGCCAAAAAGCGACGGAGACAGTTTTTTTCAGAAGCAGGTGCAGGGGACGGGGCATTTGAAGATGTTATGATGGACTACATTCAGTGTTGTTATAAAGCCCCAGCAACTCTTTGTTACATCTTACAGAAAACACAAGTGCAGACAGATTTCCTGCTCCCTCTGTGTGTTTGTTGGTATTATTTCTATCTTAACATGATTCTTGACCTGCCATTGTGTATCTGTTCCTACCAAACCCAGCCGGTCGAAGCAGATGATCGCTTGTCCTGAACCTGCTTCTGCTAAAGGTTTCTTCCTCTTGAGGGAGTTTTTTCTTTCCACTGTCGCCTTCATGCTTGCTCAAGATGAGAGTTCTGTGATGGAGTTAAAAAGCAGTCTGCTCCTCAGATAAATAATGTTAAATTATTATTTTTATCTATGAATGTTCAGTGCTCTGAGACGACTTCTGTTGTGACTTCTTGCTATATAAATAAACTGAATTGAAAATTCCAAAGTTCATGCTCGATAATCCAGGTGTAAAATCCAGCATTGTTCAGTCCGGTCATCTAGACGGTTTCTTTTTTTTGCGCTGAGACGTTTGAGCTGAGCTTTTTTGTGCTGTTTCTCTCAGCACTAAAACGAAACCGTCCAGATGAACTGACTGAACATTGTTGAATTGAAAATTGTACAACGATGGGGAACAAATTATCTAAGTATATTTCCATGTCCCGGGCAGCACGGTGGCACAACTGGTAGAGCTGCTGCCTCTCAGCGAGCAGGTCCCCGGTTCAAATCCTGTTCCGGAGGTCTTTCTGGGTGGAGTTTGCATGTTCTCTCCGTGCATGCGTGGGTTTTCTCCAGGTACTCCAGTTTCCTCCCACAGACCAAAAACATGCATGTTAGTGATTGGTAACTCTAAATTGTCTCAAGGTGTGAATGGTTGTTTGTCTCGTTTGTCTCTATGTGTCCCTGTGATGGACTGGAGACCTGTCCAGGGTGTCCCTTGCCTCTCACACAGAGTGACTGCTGGACATGGGCACCAATGACTCCCATGACCCAAACTGGAAGAAGCGGGTAAAAAGATAACGGATGGATGGACTTTCATGTCCCACTTCTGTGCTTAGTTGTAATTCAGTGTCTGTAAAGGTTGTTGCAGAATGCTACTAAATGTTTGCTGTATGCAGCCCTGATAAAGTTGTAACAATAAAAATAACTACCGGTAAGTTGTTTTGATGTTGGAGACTGCAGCAGCTCAGTTATCAGTCTGGGCTTTAGCCAGGAACAGATTGTGAGTTGACAGCACTGCTGTGCAAAGTTGTGGGTCAAAGAGGAAGGTGGCATTGATGAATAATTATATAATTCGATTCTAGATTACATTCAGGTTTTTATCTAGCTGATGAGTTTGTTGTTGTTTTCTAGCTTCCAGTTTGAAGAACAAATGCATCTTATTTTAGGGGAACTAAGCTGTGGATTTACAAGGTGGATTTACTTCGTCTGAGAGCGGGCGCCTCAGAAGAGATGAAGAAGTGTGCAGTGCTTTGCCTCACAGAAACGTGGATTACAAGTGAAACGCCGGACTCAGTCTTCCAGCTGGATGACAGACTTTTTTTTCGAGCGGACCGCTGCAGCGAGCTAACGGGGAAATCACGGGGGGGCGGAGTGTGCATTTACGTGAGTAAAAGTTGGTCCACGAACTGTACTGTTGTAAATAGCTCATGCTCGAAGGCTTTGGAGCAAATAACAGTGAAATGTCGGCCACATTATCTACCCCGAGAGTTCACAGTGACTTTTATCACAGTTGTTTACATTCCTCCGGACGCTAATGCTAATGAATCACTACAGGAGCTACATGATATCATCAGCTCGCTGCAGAACAAACACTCCGAGGCTCTTTACGTGGTAGCCGGAGACTTTAACCACGTGAATCTAAAGGACTGTCTCCCAAGCTTTAATCAGCATGTGACGATTCCGACACGTGGAGACCGCATGCTGGACCGTGTTTACACGAACGTAAAAGATGCATACAAAGCCGAACCCCGCCCCCACCTAGGACTGTCAGACCACATCTCAATCTTCCTGGCTCCTGCTTACATGCCCCCGCTGAGACGCTCCAGACCGGTTCAAAAGAAAGTTAAATGCTGGATCCAGGACAGTGGCCCCATACTGAGAGATTGTTTTGATCGAACAGACTGGCAGGTTTTCAGAGAAGCTGCTGAAAATGGAGGTTCGCTTGATCTTGACCAATACACATCCTCAGTACTGGGTTACATTAGTACATGTACTGACACAGTCTCCACTATCAGAAATGTTAAAAGCTACCCAAACAGAAAACCTTGGCTGAATGCAGAGGTGCGTACCCTGCTGGAAGCCAGGAACACTGCCTTCAGGTCTGGAAACTCAGAGGAGCTGAGTAGGACAAGAAAAGAGCTGGTTGCTGGTATTAAGAGGGCCAAGGCCACATATGCACAGAGGATCGAGGGTCAATTCATCTCACAAGACCCTCGGAGCATGTGGAGGGGCATTAAGTGCATAACAGATTATAAAGGAAGGAGTGAACAATGCCCCAAAGACCCATCTCTGCCTGATGCCCTCAACAAGTTCTATGCACGCTTTGAAGACCCGAACAGACCACCCAGCACCAGACTCACCTCACCACCGGATGAAGAGCATCTCAGCGTGACCTCAGCAGAAGTAAGGAGTACCTTCAGGAGGATTAATCCGCACAAAGCAACTGGCCCAGACAACATCCCCGGAAAAGTGTTGAAGGAATGTGCTGATCAGCTCTGTGAGGTGCTGGCAGACATCTTTAACACCTCACTTACCCTGGAGACAGTTCCCACCTGCCTGAAGACTGCCACCATCATCCCAGTCCCAAAAAGCTCTACAGTGACTGGTCTGAATGACTATCGGCCAGTGGCCCTCACCCCGATAGTCGCTAAATGCTTCGAAAAACTGGTCATGACTCACATCAAAACAACCATCAACATCAACGAGGACCCTCATCAGTACGCATACCGTGAGAACCGATCAACAGAGGATGCAATCTCCTCTGTGGTCCACACTGCACTCAACCACCTGGAGCAGAAAAACTCTTACGTCCGTATGCTCTTTGTGGACTTCACATCCGCCTTCAACACCATGATCCCCCAAACCCTGATGGACAAACTATCCACACTAGGACTAAGCCCCTCCATCTGCAACTGGGTACTAGACTTTTTAACAAACAGACCACAGTTAGTGAGGATCCACAACCTCTCCTCCTCCACCATAACCCTCAGCACTGGCTCTCCTCAGGGATGTGTGTTGAGCCCCCTCCTGTTTACTCTGCTCACATATGATTGTGCAGCTACCCATCCAGGCTGTCACATTGTAAAGTTTGCAGATGATACAGCGGTGGTGGGATGCATCACAAACAATGATGAGTCCAGCTACAGGCAGGAGGTGGAACACCTGGAGAGCTGGTGCAGAGAGAATAACCTTCACATCAATGTGAAGAAGACAAAGGAGATGATTGTGGACTTCAGAAGGAACAAAAACACCTACACCCCCCTGAACATAAGAGGATCTGCGGTAGAAGTGGTCTCCAGCTACAAGTACTTGGGTGTACACATGAATGACAACCTCAGCTGGAGCAACAACACCACCAGCCTGATCAAGAAAGCTCATCAGAGACTCTACTTCCTCAGACGGCTGAGGCGAGCTGGTCTGGGAAGCTCAGTCCTCACCTCCTTCTACAGGTGTGCAGTGGAGAGCATCCTGTGCTCGAGCATCAATGTGTGGCATGGAGGCTGCACAGCTGCAGAAAGAAAAGCTTTGCAGAGAGTGGTGAAGGCTGCACAGAAATCTGTTGGAGTCAGTCTCCCCACCATCACAGACATCTACACCTCCAGATGCAGGAAGAGGGCCACCTGCATCATGAAGGACCCCACCCACCCAGCACACACACTTTTTGCCCCACTCCCCTCAGGAAGGAGGTTAAGGAGCATTAAGTGTAGAACCACTAGACTGAGGAACAGCTTCTACCCTGAGGCTGTTAGACTCATGAATCTCTAACTAGAATAATCACTGTGAAAAACCATATCATGTTGCTGCTGATCTGTTTCATGTTGCTGCTGATCTGTTTCAATGTTGATGTGTTCATGCGTGCACATCTGCTCACAGACTCATGTTCATGTTTGTGGTGATGTTCAATGTTTTATGTTATGAGTGCTTAGTGTATATTTAGTTGATGTTTTTCTTAGTTCATATCTTAGATGTTATTACTGTTTTTCTTATACATTTTATTGTTGGATGTAACTGGGACCCTGTGTACATAATTTCGCTCCACCACATGTACCACATGAGGTGCGAATGACAATAAAGAAACTCTGACTCTGACTCTCTGACTCTGACTCTGAAATGCATCTTATTTTAGGGGAACTAAGCTGATTGCTGCCTGTCACTTGTTTGATGAGTCCTCTCATCCACAGCATCTTCCAGCAAGTGTTTGTTACTAACATACGGATGTAATCTTGACTAGAGCAAAGCTGTAAGGACGTGAGGGTTATTTTCTCTTGCTTCACCCTTTGCTCCTCTTTCTGGATTTAAACTTTAATGTATTCCCGCTCCCATTAAATAGTGCTGCCTTTATTCTTTTCAAACATCCATCGTCTCATCTTACATCTACTGTCTTGTTTGTTCAGGCTGTGGAGGAGTTCCTGAGTGAGGTGCGTAGCAGGGAGCTACCTCACAGTGCTGGGCTCGTCTCCCAACCTACAGCTGTTAAGTTTCTTATGGCCCGGAAGTTTGACGTCTCCAGAGCCATCGATCTATTCCAAGCCTACAAGGTACTGCTGAACAGAGACAGAACTTTTAAAGCATTGTAAAAGTTTGTTACAGAATAAATGTGATTGTAGAAGAAATGATCTGCTCTGGGAATCAGTAGTTGTCACAAAACCACTGACAGATCCCAGACCAGCTCAAAGGAGCAGCACTAACAGCTCTGAGCTCATTTTAGTCAAATCAAACTGCATTTGAAATCACAGGGCACTCTGCAGATATTTGAGTTAGCTTCCAGCTGTTTCACTCATTGTTAGATTGAACTACTGACGTCCTCTTGATGAGCATTTTCTGTTGTTGAGCAGTGAGCTGAAGGAAAGCATCAGTCTGGTGACAACACATTATTACAGCAGTGTTGTTATTAATCCCAGCTATCTCTGTTGAAAATTTGTAGGACTTCCAGGTGAAAAAATAAATTTGTAAATAGTGCTAATCCCTTCAATATCTTGATTTGGAACAAAAAGACACCCTTCACATGTTTTCATGTGCTAACAACGTAGTAAGATATGTTTATAAGATGAAGAAAAACAAATTGTATTTTTTTGCAACAAAGTTCATTATGGTCAGATTGTTTAAGGGTGCATCCACACCAGCTCTGTTTAGTCCTCTTTAATTGAACTCTAGTCCATTTGCCTAGAAAGTCCGGTTCATTTGGGGAGGTGTGAACGAGCAATTGAACTCTGATGCAGACCAAAACAGCGAACTCTGGTCCGCCTAAAAACCTAGGTCTCGGTTTGGTTGAGATGAACTCTAGCGCGGTTCAAATGCAGTGTGAATACAAGCAGACGGGAGACCGCTCAAAAAGAAGGAAGTGGACTACAGCGCAGGGCAAACAAACGTGCATTTCTCTTACCTCATACGGAGCCGTCAGCCGCCTTGTGTGAAAAACAACATTCTCCATGGTCTTCTGCCTCATCTTCCACTCATGTTGAGTCCATTGTTGAAAAATGACAAAACAGAAATCCTGAAACCGATAAAATTTGACGCCACTCCGTTTTTGTTTTTATTTCCAGAAGAAGAAGTGTCTTCTTTAGAGGTTTTTGTGTCGTTTCCTTCAGTAGTTTTTGGTGCAGCACCACCACAGGCGGGGGGGGAGACAGGTTGGCTCGACTGACTCAGTGCAGTTTGAATGTGAACCACACCAGCTGAAAATGTAAACAAATGTTCTGAATATTGGTCCCCAATCGAACCGAGTCTACCGGACTATCAGGTGTGAAAAGACCCTAAGACTAATGTGTTTTATCAGGTTTATTTACAGTATATTATAAAGTTTAGGGTGGGTTTGCTTTTGCTTGTTCAAAACAACTACCAGTACTTGTTGCTTCTTAAATCACTGTTTTCAGAACATAAAAATCTTGAACAAAATGTTTTAAACTCTTATTATTCAGTGCAGAATGGGTCATGGTATTTGAACTTTTGTAGCAGCTGTTGTTTAAAAGATGCATACAAATCTGAGTCTGTTTAACTTTAAACAATTGTTGTAAGTCAAAAGATACTGACCTCTCCCTGTCCATCCTGACATTCTTCTCATTAGAACACAAGAATCAAAGAAGGCATCATCAATTTAAACCCAGACGAGGAACCCCTGCGTTCTGAGCTGCTGAATGGCAAGTTTACAGTTCTGGTGAGTCGTAACCCAAGTGTGAACACAAACAGCACGAAGGAACACTATTTTACAGTTCACAATGATTCAAAATGCAAACAGAAAACCATAAGACAAGGTTCCTGTGTTCTTGCATGCACAAGCTTAAAGTTATTATTTATTATAAACGTGTATGGAGCAGCTATGTGAGTTGATCCAAGTTCATTTGTATTTGTTTTGGTGATGATCTTTTGGCATTTCCATCAGCCTGGTCGAGATGCTAAGGGTGCTGCTTTAGCACTTTTCACCGCCCGCCTCCATCAGCCCAATGTCACTACCCACAAGGCCGTTCTACAAGCCATCATCTACCAGCTGGATAAAGCCATAGAGAGGTGAAGATCTAACCTTCAACCCATCTTTTTCCTCTTCCTCTTAAAGTTCTGCTGTTGTTAACACCCCCCTCCCCCTCAAAATATGGCTTCTTTTTTGTTTCTATTGTTGTCTGTGTATTGTAATTTGTACTTTTATTGTTACCAATTAGTATTTTGAAGACTTGTTCATGTTAACGTTCATGTTCCTTGAAGTACTTGGGACACGAACAAAACTAGAAAAATAAAAAGTGTAAAAATGTAAATTTGTAATATTTTATGAAACTGAAATCAAATCAGTTGTTGCAAATTCTTATTTTTTATTTATTTTATTAATTAAGGGGTAATTGGGCAAACTCTGACAAAATACAGGAAATACTTTCATAAATTTTAACCAGTGTTTAACAGAATGAATTAAGAAGACTTACAGAATCAACTCAAATTATTTAGGAAGTGTTAACATCTCACCATTGTTGACCTTCTGCACTATTAATCTTAGTCTCATTTCTTCCCAGTATACAAACTCAAAGGGATGGACTCATATTTATTTATGACATGACAAACTCAACTTATGGTAATTTTGACTACGATCTCTGTGTCAAGATTCTCGATTTGCTCAAGGTAAGGGAAAAGGAAACATCAGCTGTTCTCTTGTGTGGTCTTTTAACTTTTCAGATTTTTCTCTCCTCATTTTCCCAGGGAGCATTTCCAGCTCGTCTAAAATGTGTCTTCATTGTGTCTTCTCCACTCTGGTTTCGAGCACCTTTTGCAGTTCTTCGCCTTTTTGTGCGGGAAAAGCTGAGGGAAAGGGTTTGTGTCTTTATTTCCCATCACAGATCAACGTCACATGTTATAAATCAAATCTATTCATGTATTTTTCCTCTTTTTCTACTTACCAGGTATGCACAGTGAAAGCTCATGAGTTGGCTAGTCACATCCCAGTCTCCTCACTTCCTGAACATCTGAGTGGGACATCCCATTACAGCCACGTAGCTTGGATTCAGTCTTGTGTTAACATGCAAACAAACTCTGTTCAGGGTGACATGCAAGAACACGACACACACGATTGCGTGGGCAGCTTGTTGCGCTCTTACAGCTTGGACAACAGCAACACAAGTATAGGTGCCACGCTGTCGCATACACATGTGAATGCACAGTTGGGTTCAGAGCGAGCCGTGGCTTACGCTAACTGCTACGGTGACAACAATGCTAACCCACACAATCACTTTGATGCAGTGGAGGTCAGGACTCGAGGCCCAGGCCAGTACCAACAGAGCTCAAATTCTGGCACAGACAAGTCGCAGGGGAACCACCAACACTGGAACGGTTCAGCGGTGAGTGCAGCCAACGCCAGCATCGGTGGCCCAAACACGAACAGAAACGGCCGTGGCTGCCAAGCTCCTTCCCACTCAGACACTCCCCCCGACACACCGCTCGCACACAAAGACAGTGGAGGTGCAGCAGATGGAGATGACACACACTCTGCCAACAGACCTCAGAGTGAAGCAGTGAAGGAGGAAGATGAAGAGGGCGAAGAGGAGGAAGGGGTGCCTCCGTTGCCTCCGTTGCCTCAAAAATCTCTGCCTCGCCCCTTCAACCAACCCTCTTCGCAGTCTCCGCCTTTGTCTTCATCATGGGGTCAGGATGATGAGAACCACTACACTGAAGTGTCTGTTCACATGCCAGATCAAGGAGGTATGACGGTGCATGAGCTTGTGGAGTATGTGAAGAGGAAGAAGAAGAGGGGGATCTATCAGGAATATGAGGAGATTCGCAAGGAGCCTCCAGCAGGAACCTTTGACTATTCAAAGTAAGCCTGAGCGTTCGCTCGCCTGTGTTTGTCTTTCATTTGGTGTTACTGATGTATGCCATCTCATCACGCAGCCTCATATTAAACTCAGGTCCATTTTTGCAGGAAATTGTCCAATCAAATCAAGAACCGGTACAGTGATGTCCTCTGCCTAGACCAGTCACGAGTGCGGCTCTGTCAGCTCTGTGATGATGAAGATGAGGTATTTTTGTCATCTGACTAAATTTTATTTCTTATTTCAAAAATCCTTTTCAGATAATACATGTATGAATGAATGCATCAGTGCATTCACATGTTCACATATTAACTTAAACATAAATATAATGATATTTACCATCCATCCATTATCTTCCGCTTATTCCAAAGTCGGGTTGTGGGGGCAGCAGCTTGAGCAGGGAGGTCCAGACATCTCTTTCCACAGCCACCTCTTCCAGCTCTTCCAGGAGAATTCCAAGGTGTTCCCAGGCCAACTGAGAGACATAGTCTCTCCAGCGTGTCCTGGGTCCTGCCTGGGGTCTCCTCCCAGTCGGACATGCCTGAAGCACCTCCCTAGGAAGGCATCCAGGGGGCATCCTTACCAGATGCCAGAACCACCTCAACTGTCTCCTCTCGATGTGGAGGAGCAGCGGTTCTACTCTGAGTCTCCCTGATAACTGAACTTCTCACCCTATCTCTAAGGGAGAGTCCAGCTACCTTGCATAGGAAATGCATTTCAACCACCTTTATCTGCAATTTCATTCTTTCAGTCACTACCCAGAGCTCATGACCATAGGTGAGGGTAGTAATGTAGACCGAACGGTAAACTGAGAGCTTTGCCTTACAGCTCAGTTCTCTCTTCACCACAAAGACCGGTACATATTCCATAATGCTGCAGATACTGCACCAGTCCATCTGTCAATCTCACGCTCCATTCTTCTCTCACTTGTGAACAAAACTCCAAGATACTTGAACTCTTCCACTTGAGGTAGAACCTCACCCTCGACCTGAAGAGAGCAATCCACTTTCCGGTTGAGGACCATGGCCTCAGATTTGGAGGTGCTGATTTTCAACTCAGCCGCTTCACACTCTACTGTGAACCGCTCCAGTGAGAGCTGAAGATCACGGCACGATGACGCCAACAGGACCACGTCATCTGCAAAGAGCGGAGATGGAATCCTGAGGCCACCGAACCGGAATCCCTCCGCCCCCTGGCTGCACCGAGAAATTCTGTCCATAAAAGTTATGAACAGAATTGGTGACAATGGGCAGCCCTGGCAGAGGCACCCTGAAGGGGTCCGACTTACTACCGGCAATGCGAACCAAACTCTCGCATTGCTTGTATAGGGACTGAATAGCCCATAACAACGGGCCCCCAATCCCATACTCACGGAGCACCCCCCACAGTGTACCTCGAGGTACATGGTCAAATGCTTTCACCAAGTCCACAAAAAGCATGTAGACTGGATGGGCAAACTCCAATGACCCCTCGAGGACCCTAGTGAGGATAAAGAGCTGATCCATTGTTCCACGGCCAGGATGGAACCCACATTGTTCCTCTTGGATCTGAGGTTCGACCAACAATCGGACTCTTTTCTCTAGTACCCCTGAATAGACGTTACCAGGGAGGCTGAGGAGAGTGAAGCTCCTGTAATTGGAGCACACCCTCTGGTCCTTCTTCTTAAAGAGGGAAACCACCACCCCAGTCTGCCAATCCAGTGGCACTGCCCACGATGTCCATGCGACGTTGTAAAGGCGTAACCAAGACAGCCCCACAACATCCAGAGCCTTAAAATCAGGGTGAATCTCATCCACTCCTGAAGCCCTGCCACCTCAAATCTTTTTAACGACCTCGACGACCTCAGCCACGGTTATGGATGGAACAACCCCAAAGTCCCCCGACTCAGCTTCCTCCATGGAAGACAAGCTGTTGGGATTGAGAAGGTCCAAGAAGTATTCCTTCCACCTCCCAATGACATCACTGGTTGAGGTTTACGCACCTCACCTTCATTGAACACAGTGTTAGTAAAGAGCTGCTTTCCTCTCCTCAGCAGCCTGATGGTTTGCCAGAATCTCCTTGGAGCCGACCGAGAGTCTCTATCCAAGGTCTCACCCCACATCCGAACTTTTGCCTCAGCAACAGCCAAGTCTGCGGTCCGCTTGGCCCTCCAGTATGCCTCAGCTGTCCCCAGAATCCCACCAGCCAACAAGGCCCGATAGGACTACTTCTTCAGCTTGACAGTCTCCCTAACCCGGGGTGTCCACCACCGAATTTGTAGATGGCCACCGTGAGAAGCACCTACAACCTTGCAGCCACAGCTCAAGGCAGCTACCTCAACACATGAGGCGCGGAACATGGCCCACTCGGACTTGATGTCCCCCACCTCAGCTGGGATGCGGTTAAAGCTCTCCTGGAGGTGTGAGTTGAAGATCTCTCTCATGGGTTCTTCTGCCAGGCGTTCCCAGCAAACCCTCACTACACGTGTGGGTCTACTGGGTCTGTCCGGCATCTTCCCCCACCATCTGATCCAACTCACTACCGGGTTGTGATCAGCTGACAGCTCAGCTCCTCTTTTCACCTGAGTGTCCAAAACAAATGGCCGCAAATCAGATGACACGACCATGAAGTCAGACATTGATCTACGACCTAGGGCGTCCTGTTGCCAAGTGCACTTATGGACACCATTATGCTCGAACATGGTGCTCGTGATGGACAAACTATGACTAGCACAGAAGTCCAACAATAGAACACCGCTCGGGTTCAGATCAGAAAGGCTGTTCATCCCAATCACGCCCCTCCAGGTCACACTGTCATTACCCACGTGGGCATTGAAGTCCCCTAGCAGAATAAAGGAGTCCCCAGCTGGCACACCTTCCAGCACCCCTGCCATGTTACCCCTGTAATGATATTTACATTTAAGTTAATATGTGAATTAGGGATGCACCGATCCACTTTTTTTACTTCCGATCCGATCCCGATAGCTAAATCTGAATATCGTCCGATACCGATCCAGTTCCGATTTCATGATCATCATTGATTTTATATGAGGCTGTAGTAATCTCTTCTCAAGTACAATTTGTACAAATTTATGCATGCATGTCCAAAAAGGCAACTTGAGGTAAGTTTTATTAATGTTGGATAAGTTTAAAAGTTATAATTAAATTCTGCTAACACAAAACGTGTTTTTTTTTTTTTATTCCTAGTTTTAAAGTGAATATTAAAGAGATTAATTTAAGTGATTGTTTAAAGGTGTTTTATATTTTTTTAAATAAGGGGCAGATATAAGATTTTTTTTCTTCTTTCTGCACTCTTTTCATTCAATGTTTTCTTTTTGATGATTTTTTTTAAATTATTTTGTTTCTTTTAAATGAATGAATTAATTAAATTAAATGTTAAATTGCTTCAAACACCTGCTAAGTTCATGGCATAAACCAACAGACATGTTCCTGTTTTTAGTATTTTACATCACTTTATAATGTAGCTGTCTTTTGTTTTTAATATATATAATTTTCAAATCATATATTTTTTATGATTGTCTACTGTTGTACTGATAAATATCTCCTGGAGGGTAAACTATATCTTGGATGCAAGTATCAAGCTGTGAAATCCTTTGTTTTCTACAACTGATAGTGGTTGGTCATTAATTATGAAGTTTAGCAGCTTCTCTGTAAACATTTGAGCTCCGTGGCTTCAGCGATGTCTACTTCTTGTTCAAGCCGAAGCAGGCAGCCTGATTTGGGGCAGCCGCGCTCAGTCTGTCCCTCCTCAGAGACGGGCAGACTGAGCGCAGCTGGCCGGGGTTGAGTCGCCTCTTTCGGGTTCAGCAAGAGTAGTGCCTCGCTGAAGCCACGTAGCTCGAATGTCCAACGTAAAACTAACTTTACCGCAGTTTAATGTGGCGCTATGGCTCTGCAGACATTGCACGTTGCTGTCTTGTTTTGTGGTGTTTCTAGTGTAAAATACTTACACACAGCGGACATGTTTAAATGAAAAGTTGGTTAGCTGTTAGCCACAGTGCTGCTAACTCAGTCCTCACGTTGTAGCTGGCTGCAAACTATGAACTGGATTTCCTGAATGTGAGGCGGGTCTAATTACTCTGGGTTCATGAGACAAGCCACCGTTCAGGAAATCCATTCCATAGTTTGAAGCCAACATGCAGCGCAACCACAGACATGCATCATGGATCGGAAATATCGGCACATGGATCGGAAAAATACGATATGTAAATTATGCTGGTATCGGATGCCGATACTGGATCGGATTGGCCCCATCCCTAATGTGAATCCTGTGTTATTTGTAGTTATATTCAGTGTCCTTTGACAGAAGTATCATCAGGCGTTACAGATTTTTTTTTCTATTTGCAGACATCAGATTACATAAATGCCAGTTTCATGGATGGGTACAAGAGGAGCAACGCTTACATCGCCACTCAGGGTTAGACACTGTTTGCATGCCTTACTTTTGTTATGATTCATATTTTTTGTATATTTTAAGATCAATCCACAAGCACTTTTTCTGCACTGGTTATCTTAGCATTCAGTGAGTTAAAATGATACGTATTAAATGGGTCAGTGATTGCTGGGACCTCTTTACAAGACAGGTTGTCAAACTTTCTGCAATTGCTAATATACCATCAATATATTGGGATGATAATTTTCTTAACATAAAATGTACTTGAACTTTTTACAGCATATGCATTTTTTTTTGTAGTCTTTATTTTCCTTTCCAAGTCAAGCTTTATCCTTAGGTCTTTGCAGCTACCTTGATCTGACATACTTTTGTGTCCTTCAGGTCCTTTGCCAAAAACCTTTGTTGACTTCTGGCGAATGGTTTGGGAACAGATGGTACTTATCATTGTCATGACCACCAGGTGAGATGTTTAGATATCTGCGGTTTGATCGTTTTTTCTTCACGACATGTATTCAAACTCAGACGTGACAGGCTAAATAATAAGAACTCATTTAATGATGTTCCCAGGGTTATAGAGCGTGGACGTATTAAATGTGGTCAGTACTGGCCTCTTGAGGAGGGCAGGACAGAACAGCATGGATACTTCTTGGTTAGGAATACACATATCCAGGTGTTTCAGGACTTTAAACTCTCCCACCTTGAGCTGTACAACACACAGGTAAATAAAACTCTTCTTGCATACATTTCAGTTTGAATCCAATTTGTTTAAAGGACTTCAGGTTTAGAAAGTTGTGGTATTGATTTTAATGGGTTTTAAGACATAGTTTGCATTTTGAAAAGGCCGAAGACTGACAAATGCATCTTGTTACGAGAAAAAGTTTCTGTCTCTTTTTCTGAACTCATCTAATGTTTTTAGTCTGGAGAAAAACGGGAAGTATACCACTACCTCTATGTAAGCTGGCCAGACTTTGGGGTGCCTAAAAGTGCTTCCGCCATGTTGGACTTCCGTGAGCACGTCCTTCGGACAAGTAAGGCTGCGGTCCACAACCTGGGATCAAGCTGGAGGGGGCCTCCAGGGGGCCCTCCTGTGATTGTGCACTGCAGTGCTGGCATCGGTCGCACAGGTGAATATTGTGAACTGAAGAAACCTGTTTACATGCATTTATCTGTTTACATTTGTGCTAATCATTCATTTCACATTTTCTCCAGCGAAATGTTAGTTTTTTTTCATTACTGACCAGTTTAATCAAATTGAAAAAGACTAAACTTAAAATTGAATTGTTTTCTTTGGGCATAATAAAGGCTCAATATGAGTTTTGCATCTGTTTTTGATCAGTTTTGGCTTTTATTTTGACACACATCATTTTCGAGTTGTAATCTCTCCGTCTCGTTCTTCCCTGCTTTTTTGAAGGCACCTTCTGCACACTCGACATCTGCCTGTCCCAGCTGGCAGACGTCAGCACAGTAGATGTCCGTCAGACGGTTCGAAGGATGCGAACGCAGAGGGCTTTCAGCATCCAAACCTGGGACCAGTACTATTTTTGCTACACAGCAGTTATCGAGTACGCTCAGCGACATGGGAAACTGAGCCCAGTGCAATGGTCGGACTCGGACTTGGAGACTGACAGCGAGTGAGAGACAAAATATGGAGTCGACTACATAAACAAGTCAGTCAACCCAAACAGAAGACACATAGGAATGGAAAAAGCGAGGAGCGTAGGACAGAGGTGACCCTTTAATCATAGGAGACGGAGCATGGTGGACTCCCAACAGATGCTCTTCCTTCACACAGGTGGATTGGAGGAGATAAGGAGCTGGAGATGAAATCACAGTGCTGTGGAGAAATGCACTGCATCACTCATGAAAAAGCTGGCCTGCCATTACCCAATCTTACTTAGCAAACTACAGGGGTCTTGCCCCTTAGCCTGTCTTGTCGACAGAAACGTCGTACAAGTTGTAGCATTTTTTTTTTATATCGACTTGCACTTGAGGAATGACGAACTCGAACTTCACCCCTCGAAGCCCTCCAGACTCAAGTGTTTGTTCCAACTTTTTTACGTTCTTGCTCCTCTTCACCTCGGAACAACTCTGACGACGCATCAAAATGCGAAGAGTGTGAAAAGATGAAACTTGAAAACATTTCTTCTTAGTTTCATTTTTGTTAGTTTGACTTTAAAGAGGAAATGATTCTTTGTGAGTGTTTTTGACTGATTACCTTGTGAGCCATTCAGTCCATTTCCATTTGTTCTTTTCATTTTATGACAAATTTATTTTCTATGACACGTTTTGATGTGCGCTTCATATTTAGACTAACATTTTAAGCCAAAGTACTCACCCTTGAATGCTTGGATGTATTCTTTACTGAGATATATTAAACTGAAGCCCATCTATATTCTTGTAACATACATGTATACTTTATTGTGCATATTAACTGACTTAATGTTCAGAAAGAAAATCCATGTAGCGAGCCACACTGAGTGGTTCTGGTTTGAAACTCATGGGTATGTCAGGTCTAACATCATCTTTGCTGTCTGAGCGTTCAGGTTGGACGTTCTCAAGTAATTTGGCCTTAACTTGATTCACTGCCTCGTAGTTTGTTCTTTCCTCTTGTTCCTGCCTATTTTTAAACGTTCCTCTTTCTGTACCGTAATTGTTTTAGATTCTCAAGATGCGTTCTGTCTCAATTTACCGTGCCTTCACATTTCCCTGAGCTTAACGTCTCCCACCTGAGTAGAACCACCCAAATTGATGCACTTGCATTGCACACGTTAACTGTCGCATCAGACGTTTTGCCTAATGTCCTATGGCACACTACTTTAAAAAAAAAAAAACAAAGAAAGTAGTGAATTATCTTCTAGTCAATTCTGGTCTGAGTCATAGCTGGGGTTTTTTTTTTATTTGACCTCAGGGTGTAACTTTCATTTTTGTTTTGTTTCAAGTGTCAAGGATCAGTTTCTGGGTTTGTATTTAAAGAACTACAAAGAAGAAAACTCAACTTTTTGTATTTTACTGTATTGTATCCCACTGTATTTGTCTTTGTTTTTCTACAATCCTCGAATGTTGGTACGAAACTACAAAAAAACAGACCAGTTATTTGATTTAATAAGCTGAACAAATCTGAACGATATATTTTTTATTGTTGACCGTGAAATTTAAGTACAATGTGTCACTTGTATTTTCTGTACAATCTTGTAAAAGAAAAAAAAAAGTCCAATTTTAGGACTATAAACAGGATCTAACTTTTTTTTTTCTGTTTTAGAGGTTATTGTGCAACTCTATGATAATAAGAACAAAATTAACATCTGTCTCATATGCCAAGGACACAGAAAAAAAATTATGATAAGGTATAATTTAAAAAAAGAAGCTGTCATTTTTGTTCACATAGAAGTACTACAGTATATATGAAATGAGTTTTATCAGCATGAGATGAGAGCCTTGAATGTTTTCGGGGTACTGGTGTCAGATTTTAGTTAAACACATATATTTTATTGTGAATGTGGACCCTGCAACCCTCCAAGCCAAAGGCTAGGCTCATAGTTTTATATATACATATATTTTTTTTAACACTTCATTCATTCTTTGCAGCCTACTTGCATGGACACTACCTGTGCAGCCTCGTATGAGACTCCGGAGCACCTCGGGAACATTACTAACGTTTATGTATAGCTGCGTAATAGGAGAGCGTGTACAGGCTGTGTGCTTTTCTTTCCAAGAAGAGACATAATGCAATGTGGATTTGTCATTTTTATATGTTTGTGTGCTTTACGTTCATGTGATTGAATTATGGCCTTTTACATGCTGTCAACCCAGCTGACCCATTAAAACAATGGTCTTATTATCTGGACTGAATGTGAAGCTAATGTCACGTCCACTTGACTAGAAAGATGAACATTTTGAACATTTTTCTCATTTCAGTTAGCGTTATAAAATCTCTTCCACAACCTAAAGTTTTGGGCAGATCCTCATTTCTTAGGTAAAAGTGTTTGTTTTCTGTTGCTTGGGGTCAGTAAACCAAAGTAGATTCTGTGTGAAATAGAAATGTAAAAATGCACATTTTTATTCTAGCACACATTTGATGTACGCCAAGTTTCTCACCAAAGCACAATAGTTCAGCTATGTGTAAGTACAGATAGATGTTACTTTACAAAATGTAATTTTTATATAAAATATCTACAATATTGTACAATTAAAAGTTTAACGCATGAGGATATAAAACTGTTGAAAAAAGTAAAACTTTTTGATCCACCTCATTTTATTTATTTATTTTTTAAGGAGGCCTTATGAAACTATCATCCAGTTAAATTATGATTATTTTTCTTTTTAAACTGTTTTCAAACTAATTTTTTTAAATGTATTTATACTAATTGTGTCATAAAACTCAGGTGAAGCCATAAAATATCTGGCTAAATTCAGTTTATTTTAAAAGTGCCAGTTTGCAACAAAATATTCTGTCATTCAAATTAAGTTGCTGTCACTTCCTTTTATAATACATTCACATTCAATACCTTATAACTTGTCAATAAGTAAAGAATTAACTATCAAAAGAAGCCAGCAGATTGTATCAAATTGTCACTTTGTTGCAGTCCACTATTCTGGGCAAGCACTGGGTGACAGTGGAAAAGAATGACTCTTTACCAGTAAGAAACCTACAGCAGAATCAGACTCAAGATGGTTGGCCGTCTTCCTCGACCAGACAGGAAAAAGACACAAACTGAAGGAACGGTTCAGATGTAGTTCAATGGGTAGAAGAGCAAAACGGCGTGGGTGGGGCTCAAACAACAGCAGTAACTGCATTTATAAACATGGAGAGCAGAGTGAAAGAAATGTGGTCAGTTTGTCCTCCAGCAGTCCAAGTATATAGCAGAATAACTAATGGGATAGCTCAGGAAACCTGAGCCAATCATAACTATAGGTTTTAACAGCGTCAGTCTCATGGAGAGCAACTGGTTAGTTGGGGAGGAGCCTGAAAAACTGAAAGCTCTGCCTCCTCTTCTACTTTTAGAAACTCTAGGAACCACAAGTAAACCTTCAGTCTGAGATAAGTCTGCAATAAGATCTTTAACATAAGATGAAGTTTAGTAGATGTTAGCAGGAGGAGTTCAAATTATATTCTTAATTTTACATTTAAATGTGACCTGTCCTTTCAGATTTTTCTTTCCAGAGGAATACTTGTGGAATTTTTTCCCCCCGTATATATATTTTTTTTGTATAAAAGAAAACCAAACATGACAAAAAAATCAAAATTTTGACTTTGTTTAAAAAAAATTCAAAAACTCAGTTTGTTTTTTAATTAAAAAAATGTAATCAACTGAAAATATATGGCATGTGAGAAATATTATAGGAGCTTGTTATGCAATACCACCTAGCGCCACGAGGGGGAGTATAGACCGGAAGCAGGAAGTGCCGTCAACGTCAGAGCGAAATTCAAACTTGCTGAACTAAACAGTTGTTTTTTTCACACGCTGCACTTCTTATGATCTTCATTTGTTTTTTAACTAAATCAGGTAATTTCAAATCGTTGAAAAGTCTTTCTCTTTTATCTCTCTTACTATTCCTTGGTTCTTTTCACTAGACTCGTCTTTTGTTTGCTAGTTAGCTAGAAAATGTTAGCGACGAGATGAATGAATTCCGAGCGTTTTTGTGAAAAGTCCTAATTTGAGTTTGTTTGGTGATTTATGAGTTGATCTGTGTTTGCAGTGAGGTTTATCCTTGGTTAGCTGGAGTAGGGAGGATGCCTGTGGAAAGGACGGAGTACCGGGAAGCCGCAGAGCTTCATAAATATTATGAAGTTTATGAAACTATCGGCTCGGGTAACAGAGACCCACCACCCTGTCAGAATGAGAACAATCACGTGTTGTCCCTGTTGTGAGGTCTGAACCAGGTGTGTTTTTCAGGTGGATTTGCAAAAGTCAAGCTTGGTCGACACATCTCGACAGGAGAGAAGGTCGCCATTAAAATTATGAATAAAAAAGATCTTGGGGTGAGTCAAAGACTTTTTCATGAAGAATATTTGCGTTTAAGCCCAAGACAACTCAAGATAAAGCTAGCTGCAATTTCTGAAGTATAAAATGTCTAAAACATTTAAGAATACTGTTCAAGAATTGAAAAAAATATATATATCCTGCAAACACAAAGTGCATTAATGTTTGAGAGCACGGTTTGGGCTTTAAAAGACAAGTTTGGAGTCCATCCCAAATAACTAGGCTCTAGTTTGTTTTCTACTAAATTACCAATATCAGAGAAATCCTTTGTGCAATATTATTGTTTAATGTAGTAGTGACAATATCACTTATTTTAAATCCATGTCACCACTTTAAACCAGGAAAGGGCATCAAAACAGTGAGTTAGATGGATCGATCAAATGTAATTTTAGCAATTTATTATTAGCACGCAGAATATGAATGCATGGTACTTCAGATATAACAGATTATGGGGTGCTCCTCTAAATCTGAGACCATGGTTCCTGACTGAACGCAGGTGGAATGCCCCCTCATGGAGGAGGGGGACTTTGCCTCAGAAGGAGGAGTTCAAGTATTTGGGTTTCTTGCTCACGAGTGATGGTAGGCTGCAATGGAAGATGCATCGCAGATCAAGATCTTGTCCTCAGTAATGAGGCCGTTGTTTCGGTTGGTGAAGAAAGAGTCCAAAGGCAAAGCTCCTGATTTATTGGTCCGTCTACAATCCAACCCTCACCTGTGGTCTTGATGTGTAGAGCTGCTGCTCCTTCACAATGAAAGGAATCAGTTGAGGTGGTTCAGACATCTGATTAGGATGCTCCTTGGGCATGTCCCACTGGTAAGAGGTCCCAGGGCAGACCCAGAACTCCCTGGAGGAATTGCAATTTTTTTTTTTTTTGGCCTGGGAATGCCAAACGGTCCCCAAGGACATCACACAAAAAACTAATATTTTACTAAATTTTAGTGTCTGAGTAGGAGAGTCGACATTCAAGACAAAAATACTCATGGCAGTCCAGCCTGGTATGTGTTTTTTAATTTCTTAGTGTAACCTTTAGTAAAAAAAAAAACCGCCTTACAAGTATCAGAAGACTAGAATATCTGGACTCTTTGTAGTTAAAATATTTTTACTGGTATCGCAGTGAAATAAACTCAGCATCTCTATACAGGATGACTTACCTCGTGTAAAGTTGGAGATCGAAGCGATGAAGAACCTGAGTCATCAACATGTCTGTCGACTGTACCACGTCATAGAAACTTCTTCACAGATATTTATGGTGCTCGAGGTAAGAGCACTAACGGCACACAGAGTGTATGTGTAAGAAATAAGTTGTTTTTTCTCCCAGTGAATGTTGTTGTTCTTTTCCTGGTCTCAGTACTGCCCAGGTGGAGAGTTGTTTGATTACATTATAGCAAAGGATCGGTTGTCGGAGCAGGAGACCAGAGTGTTTTTCAGGCAGATTGTGTCAGCGATGGCCTATGTGCACAGCCAAGGATACGCACACAGGGATCTCAAACCGGTACAAATAATAATCGTGCTTGTGTACAATGTGACATGACAAATGTTTGTCTACTGTTGTCATCACTCTTTGTTATAAACATGCCTCTCTTGTAAACGAGTCCTTGAGGCTCAATGAGACTAACCTGTATAAATAAATGTTGAATGTAAATGTACAGTACAGTTAAAATCTGAAACAAACCCCTAGTTTTGTCACATTTTGCTTTCAAGAAGCCAGAATTTCCTGTAAACTTTTAAAGTGATCCTAATCAGCATTGCATCATCTTTGTTGATCAACTGTATGTCCAGTTTTTAGGTACTGGTACTATAGTAGGTCTTTGGGAATCACTTGCTTGGAGCTAAATTAGTTTCTGTTTAATAATTATTTTTTTGCCAAGCTGTGTGTTATGTGTGAAGTATTTTTTTAGTATTTCACCCACAGCACCCTGATTTATTGTTGTATACACTATTCTTATTTTAACTGCATTTTTACTGGAGTTTATTGTTGTTATTGTTTACTGTTTTGTTGTCTGTACTTTATATGTTCTGTCTGGAACAGGTCTCTCTTGCAAATGAGCCCCCGTGGCTCAATGAGGCTAATCTGTATAAATAAAGGTTGAATGGAAAAAAAAAAAGAACAACACTGATTCATCCCTTTGTAAATGTTTTAATGTCTGAATGATCCTTTAGGTCAGAGGGATGACTCAATGACAGGTGCTGGACTGAAAAATACAAAAACATGAAGAATTACTGATCAAGGCCAATTTAAAAGGGCTTTATAAAGTCTGGCTACTTGAAAACAAAGATTTGTGCAGTAATGTATATTTTTGATTGTGACAACACAGTTTAATGTCAACTAAAATGTTTTTTTTTTTTATCTCCACATTAGGAAAACCTGCTGATTGATGAGGACCAGAACTTGAAGCTCATAGACTTTGGCTTATGTGCCAAACCCAAGGTATGTCATCACATTTTCTTATTCTGAGATCCAAATAAATGCAATAGGTTAAAAACAGTAACTGCATATGGCTTTCCTATTTAGTGCCTCGAGGCAAAGTCCACGCCTTACATTTATGTTTCGTGAAAACCTTCTTATGGGTTGTGGTTGCTCCTGTTCAGGGTGGTTTGGGTTATGAGCTGAAGACTTGTTGTGGGAGTCCTGCTTATGCTGCTCCTGAACTCATTCAGGGGAAAGCATACATCGGTTCAGAGGTAAATATCGGGGTTTGATTTTTAATATCATTTAAAATCGGTCGAGTTTACATTTGTTCCCACAAAGAGCTGTTATTACCTGCCTGCTTCACATGTTGCTCTTCTGTGGGTGTCCGGATCATATTTACTGGTGCATGACTCGGAGCAGCTGAGCTGTGAAATCCTGCCTGTAACACTCGATGCTGTAACCTCCAGGCTGATGTTTGGAGCATGGGGGTTCTGCTGTTCGCTCTGCTCTGTGGATACCTCCCCTTTGACGATGACAACTGCATGGTCCTTTACAGGAAGATTACGGTAAGAAAACTGCTGAGTTAGTTATATTTCCACTGAACCTGAGGCATTTACAGACAATTTACTACTACTATGTAGGTAAAATTGAAAACTGAAAGTCTCTTTTTTTTTTTTTTTCCCCAGAGAGGTAAATATGATAACCCACAGTGGCTCTCTACAGGTAGTATCCTCCTCCTCAACCAGATGATGCAGGTGTGTATTCTGTTAGTGTTTTTTGTTCTGTTTTGATGATCATTCTGTGATATAAATTTACAAAAATAATTATTTCTGATGTGCAGCAGCACAAAACATTTAGACTGCAGGGCGGTACTCGTCAGTTGGCAGCTCAGGAGCCGTCTCAGACCTCTGAGGTCATTGGGTTCTGTCTCTGAAGTCTTAGTTTATTCCTAAATCAACTTAAGTGTTATTAAGTGTTTGCTCACTCACAGCGCATGATCAAACCTGACTAGGACTGTGGCACATATTAGAAAAAGAAAGCGGCTGCAGGGTCAGGCAGCGTGGAACAGCTGTTTAGTTCATTCAAGTGCTAGAAGCGCCGGCATGTAGGAGACACGGGTTTGAGTCCAGCAGTGAGGATACTTACTGTTTTTACCCATCTTGACTTTCTGTGACACTGTTTTCTAGTCAGGAATTACTGGTAACTGTAGCAGGAATTGCTGATAACATTATTTCTCCATCTTTGACCCCCAAAAATCCCAAAACAAATTATTTTGGTGCATTTCTTCAGCGTTTAGTGTTATCCAACTCAAAACTCGCATACTACCGTAGTTTTTAAAACTTGTTCTTTAGCATTTTAACGGTAAATTGACTGTACTTATAGAACGTCTTTCTATATTATCAAGACACTCAAAGCGCTTCACACTACAATCCATGTCCTCATTTACCCATTCTTACATAGATCTATACAAGAATAATCAGTTCTTTATCACATTCGTACACTGATGGGACACGCATCGGAGGCAATGAAGGGTTCAGTGTCTTGCCCAGCCTTGCTTCAGCATGTGACTTTGGGTGGAATCGAACCCCCAACTCTTGCATTGAAGGACGACTGCTCTAACCACTCGACCACAGCAGCGCATTTATTTATTTATTTATTACTTGAAATCGCAATAAATAAAGTAATTCTGTATAAAAAGGTTTGTAAGCTCAATCCTCCAGGTAGATAAATCACAAAAAATGTTAAATTGCGTCATCTGAACGAGTTTCTTTGAGGGAGAAACGTTTCGTCTTTCATCCAAAAGGCTTCATCAGTCGGAGGCCTGCCAACCCAGATCTGTCCCATAGATAGTCCTCATTGATGTGTTTCAAGCCAACCTGTTGAATTCCAAGAAACCAGCTTCTAACCCTTGTCCAGAAACTTGTCCAGATGACATGATGTAACCTTGTTTGTGATTTTCTGCATAAATGTACAGAGATTTACAGGTAAAATCACAGAAAAACGTCTCCATCAAAGAAGCAAAGTTGTCTTAACTCTTTTGCCATCTGTGTATGAAAGCAGAAATAGAAATAAATTAAACTAGTCATTATCACCAGAAGGATGGCTTATAGAAAGCTTCTCCTTCAGTCTGATTAGAAACTTTCTATCTCTGGAGTACATTTTGTGGACAGTCCCTGCTGTAGCCTCGTTTTGAATTGAAGTGTCGGTGTGTGTCCTGCAGGTGGACCCCAAGCGCCGTCTGACTGTCAGACAGCTGCTGGACCACCCCTGGGTTACCAAGGACTATAACAGCCCTGTGGAGTGGCACAGCAGACAGCCGGTACAGACGCTCAGAAAGCTGCAACACAAACACACTTTTCTTAGCTTGTAATCAGATTATTTAAGCTGTGGTCTTTCTTTTGATTCCTGATGGGAGTTTTGTTTCTCTCCCTCAAATCACCACGTATCTTAAGACTTGTGTAAACATTTAAAGCTTTTTTTTTTGTGTAGCTTGATCGTCTAGATGAAGACTGTATCACTGAGATGGCAGTCAACATGAAGCGGTCAAGAGAAAGCACCACAGCACTCGTGAAAGAGGTGTGTGTGTGTGTGTGTTCCTAATTGGGTTTTTCTGTGGTGCCCCATTTTGTTGTTTGCCGTCAAGTGGTTTGGACTATGGTGTAGTAAATGATGCTTATATTAATGTAGTATCATGCATATGTGGTGTTAAATGAACAGTTTAATATATTTGAACCCCCACAGTGGAAGTATGACCAAACCACAGCCACCTACCTGCTGCTGCTGTCGAAGAAGCAGAGGGGAAAGCCTGTCCGTCTGCGTCCTGAACCAGCTGCCTGCGAGGAGTCTCCTCTGCACCAACTGCACGTAGGAAACAGGACAGCTTCTTCTGTGCTGCTTTGATAACTAGGAGGGGCTGAAAATCTGAATGTTTTTATTTATTTAATTTTAACATGTCTGTTTGTTTTCTTCCCCAGACCAGAGAGCTTCTTCAGTACAATGAGGATGTGGATGCTGTGATTATTGGCTCTTTGGACTTTTGCTCAGATTATGTTGATGACTGTCCATGGGTCTCGGTCCAACAGTACACGCCCCAGAGGGTCAGAGGTCAGCTGGATGGAAACGCTAACAGAGACGTGGTACGTGGAACTTTCTGCTTCTTCTGTGTGACATGAGTTTGTTCAGAAAAAGATACAACGAGACGACAAGCTTGGGTTAAAAAATCCAAAAGCAACAGCAAAGTGATAGACATGTAGTTTGGAGATTTTCAAACACCTACTGTGTCTTTCTGCACTCTGGAGATGAAAGGTACTATACTTGCCTCCGTAAAACTCACACGGCCCTATAAGTCGCATCAGTTCTAATATGTCTAATTAAGTGGGGAAAAAACTTAAATATGTCACTTTGCCATATAAGTCGCATCTATTATGTGTCACTGCTGACAACCCGGAAATGTGAGCCGGTGTTGTGACAAAAATCAATCGACTGCCAAATGGCGGCCACGGGAGCGTGCACGTGAGGACTTTAACAAGAATTTAACAAGATTAACATGCAGAGGGAGGACTCACTGTGCATTTCTTCGAAATTTAACCAGATAACCACCTTAAAAACAATTATTTGGTTGCTCGAAATTATAGTAAAGGTGTGTCTTTAACTTTTCCTTAATAAATGCACTTTGATGGTCAAATCAGATTGACTTGATTTGATGTATGTTCCAGGAGTTCCGGAGTGAGACGAAGGTGGCTTTGTATGGCAAGCCAAGTGTCCCATTAATAGCCACTTGACTTGCCATATTAGTCGAGAGCCCTCTAGTGGCTGAAAATGGTAGTGCTCAATATTTTCCTTGTCAGAATGAATGAAATCATCAGATCTCAGCCAAAAATTGGGGGAATAAACATAATACGTTGCTTCACTGTATAAGTCACAGGCATGCTAATTTATGTAAACATCTGCGACTTATACTGCAAAAAATGATAGTTCACGTTTAGGTAAAATAATAGAAAACTTCTGCTATTAACTTTCATTTTATGAGCTTTCCAACTTTATGAGCCTAAGAGCTGAAGAAAGGAGACTTAAAACACTGTGTAATGTGCATAAATTGTTCCTTGACTCTTCAATTATTTCCTTTTTCTGTTCCTGAAGAGGTTGCTCTCACCTGCAGAAGAAAAACAATGCACTCACAGTCCCACAGCAGAGAGGGGGAGGCCGGCAACACCACACCACCAGCAAAGGAGGGAGAGAAAACACGAACAAACCAGCGAAAACAAGGAGAACGTTGCTGAAGAGAAGAAAGACAAAATGTTTGCGTTGCCTCCCCCCCGCACCCCCGTGTCCAGTAAGAAGAATGCACGCAGGAACGTGTTGACCACGCCCAACAAAAACACAAACATTGTCACCAAATCCAACATGGAAACACCTAAAGGTAAGTAAAACTTTTTTCTTTCTTTTTTTAGGGGAAGGGGGGGGGGGGACAGGATGCATCAACTCTATACAGATTTCATAATTGTTTATTCTTCCAAACAAGTGATTGAATTTCTTATTAGATTAAACTGATGTAATTTAACTGTCACCCTCTGTGTTCACTTATTCTGTTCCCTTTGTCGCTTGCTGGTCTCATAATCACACGTGCCACAACCGCATGCTACACATTTGCCAGTAAATTGTCTTCTGGTAATAAACTCATTTATCGGGCCTGGGTTTTTTTTTTTGTTTAATCCAAAAGCTTCTCATAATTCAGTGATTTAGCTGTCATTACTCCACAGAAAACAGACGCACACGCTTATCACTGTCAAAGGTGAGCTTATTATCAGGAAGCTAATTCTGTTCACTTATCTGTAAATGAAGGGCAGTAATGTGACTGGGAGGATCATTAAAGTCCTAATTGTTTGTCGTGGTGACGTTTCTGCTCAGATGTCCAGCCTCATTAGTTCCTTGTTGAAGTCCGGCCAGCAGATTTACTGTAGCTGTTGGAGTTGATGATAAATCCTTGGAGCTCTGCTTTACACTGCTCTGTACGCTGCCTCCTGTTTTCTGATCTACAGTTAGAGCAGACACGCTGCAGCCTGTGACATCCTTGTCCACACACTCAGTGTGTGTCCCCAGGCGTGCGCTGTGACAGGTGTAGCTGTCTCCTTCCTTTGCTCGCTGTCCCACATGGGCTGTAGTGACATGTGTTCTCTCGCCACTGAAGCCCAGCTCTGTGTGTGTGCGTGTGTGAGACACGTTTTATCTTTGTGTTCACAAAGTCGGCCAGCTTTAGGTGTCGGAGCAAAGGGCTTTCACCTGAACAGCTTCCAATCTCTGCTTTAGTTGCTTCTGAGTTGAGCTTACTTTCTTAAATAAGACCTGTGTAAAAAATTACCTGTCTGATGGTAAAAGAACTTGCATGTCAAGTTGCCTGTGTCAAAAGACTTGAGAGAAAAATTCAAACTCTTAAATTTTTTACCTGGTATCAAATAAGTTAATCTACTACCTACTGCTAAATCTACAGGTTGTTATGTTTATGTTCATATCTCATTCACAATGACATTTTGCACAATAACATTTTCCTAAAATGCTGTATATTACACAAAGTATTCATTCATTCAACCTTTATTTATACAGGTTAGTCTCAATGAGCCACGAGGACTCATTTACAAGAGGGACCTGTTCCAGACAACATATAAAGTACAGACAACAAAACAGTAAACAATAACAACAATAATCTCCAGTAAAAATGCAGTTACATAAGAGTAGTGTATAAAACAATAAATCAGGGTGCTGTGAAACAGGATGAAATACTAAAAACAAGAACGTATTTGCTTTGATTTTTCTATTGACATTATCAAATGTTTGAAACCCCTCAAAGGAATCAAGGTGGACAACTTCAGTTCCTGTTGTAAAGTGTTCCAGGTTGTAGGAGCTGAGTAGGAAAAGGCCTTTTTGCCAAGTTTTTAATTTTAAATAAAAAATCCATGCCGATCGTGCGGCTCATCCATCATTCAGCCAATTGTGTGTCATGTCCAATCTTATTTTGAAAAACCACCATAGAGCGAGTCTTGAAAAACGAACCGTGAAGTAGCAAGGGACTACTGTATGGTGCCACATCACAACAGAAGTCATCTCAGGGCCCTGAACAGAAACATTCATATATATATATATATATATATATATAAATAAGTTAACACTATTTATCTGAGGAGTAGACTGCTTTGAATTTAACTTCATCACAGACACATTGAGCAAGCACGAAGGCGGCAGTGGAGAGGAAAAACTCCCTCATGAGAAAGAAACCTCCAGCAGAACCAGGTTAGTTTAGGGTCTGGGTTAGGTTACAGAAATGACTGAAAACCAGTACAATGCTCTAGTAAGGATATAAACGTGTTTCTTAAGAAAAGGACAATCATGTCCGTCTTCTATTTTTTTTTAACAAAGTAGTATTTTTATTTCCTTTCCACTTTTTCAGCTAAAAAGATAAGAAAGACTAGGTGACTTTTTGATACAAGCTTTTTTTATGCAAGTTTTGTTACAAAAATGTCATGCATAGATCCCATGTAATTCCTTAGATGGAGAAGTTTACTAATTGGCTTTTCTATGTATGTGAATGTTCCTGTAAAGTGCTCTGAGACAACTTTGTGTGATATGGAGCTATATAAATAAACTGAATTGAAATAGAATTGATTGAGACGGTTTCTCATGCCTTCATGGGAGACTGCAGGACATGTGTGCTGAGTTGTAATGGAACAGGATTTCTACATAGGGGTGCACCGATAAATCAGCCGGCCGACTTATCGGCCCTGATTTCCTTAATTTTGGGTGATCAGCCGATACTTAAACGAGAAACCAATTTTACCTGATTTTTTTTTGTTTGTTTGTTTGTTTTGCTTTGTTTTTTTTGTTTTTTTTGAATGTCCAGAGTACCAGATTTAACTTTTTTAGATAAAAATAAACTGTTGTTTAGCAAGTGTGTGTGTGTGTGTGTGTGTGTTTTAGGTGACAGCACATCTAAGGAGCAGAATAAGAAGAAAGCTGCAGAAATAAAGGACTCTGCAAACATAGAAATAATGGCATTCAGTCCAGAGCGAAGGTGAGTGAACCACAGGATCGGTCGGTGCTTCAGGGGAGGTTTCAGAAGCGACTGAGGAGAGGAAAACGGTTGTGCAGGCAGAAGGTCGGTGTTTGTGAAATCGTGTTTTCTCTCCAGGTCCAGGTCGCTGGACATGGCTGTCACAGAAGACAGTGGGAAGAAGAAGCGAGGAGGAAAGATGTTTGGCTCCCTGGAGAGAGGCCTGGACAAGGTGATCACCATGCTCACCCCGAGTAAAAGACGAGCCCTGCGGGACGCCCCACGCAAGATTAAGGTACACGCATATGAAAAACAAACGGACGAGCTGACCTACGTCAAACTTGCATCATACGCAGAAAGAGATGCAAAAAACAAAATCATGGTCAGGTTTCAGCCTGTTGTTACATTAGTTAGATTTTTCAGCCAATATGCAAAGTGTTTTGAAGTTTTGTTTTACGTGTTTAAAGTTTATTCCCATGCTACATTTAAAAAAACAGAGATGTGTAACATACAATAATTAGAAAAAATAAACATTTACAGAAATGTAAATTCTAAACGTTGTGACTTTCCTATAGTTTTTTGAAGAAGCTAATGCAGACATTGACAGTTAAAAGAATCACACCAGCTAAAATATCAAATCACCAGCTAAAAGAAGCACAAGACTAGTTAA